CTTTAGGCACAAGAATGATCTCAAGGTTGACATTCATCCATTTTCTCTGGATGACACCAATTTCGTCACCGTAATTATAATTTGAGCGAGTGAATCGGTTCGAAGCAAATCTGTCGTAAGAGGTGGCGGGATCTCCGGAGGCCTCAGATCGGCGAGCTACCCGGTAGAGGGTAGTATGAAGTGATGCCGATAACCCGAGCAAAGGGACGTGGTTGTGAAACCGGTGAGCATACCGAACCCGACCTCATGGAACCATTTAGCATGCCACAAGAAAGCCTCTGGATCGGGTTTTTCAAAAATCTATCCAGGTAGAATAATCCTTATGAGGGAATTATTTTCTAAAACCTCGAACCTTTGAATCGGGTACATGAAGTCATCGACTTCAAAAAGCCGCATGAGATGCCCAAAACCTCTCAAATGAGATAAAAACCAGATTTGTAAAATCTCCGGGCGGCCCGCATAATTTTATCATCATTTTGTTTAAAACGGTTCAAAGACAAAAATGTTTCGCTAGAACCGAGTTAACATAACCCAAGCCGTGCAAATTTGTTTGGCCACATACGCAATTGAAGGGTTTATTGAATTTCTACGATGGGGGAAAATGACACACCCAACAAAAGCAAGGATAAAAATTTTAGCTTTTTGGCTCATGGGTTGACTTTCAAAACGTTCATTTAGGAAAAACCAGGGGCAGGCATTGCAATAGGCTTTAACGACTCTTTTCACGGTATTGCTATCGGTTCGCAAAAACTGGGATAATTCGGATAGAGGAGACACACCCAAAAGTGGTTTGATGAGTTCGATCCCAAAGGCTTTCCAATGACAACGCCTGTACTCCTCCGTGGGTCGGGTCATCTCAAACTTACCGAATATGAAAGTGGATGTTTGTGGACACCGAAATGTGCTAATGCTTGCATCATGCCGAATGGATGTTGATTTTGAGCAAGGGGAGTAGGCGACCAATTCTTGCTTTAACATACCGTTGGCCATTTTGATCGAGTCGGTCCCACCATGCCAGAAGCTCTTTTTTAGGAGTGGGGACAAATTGGACATCAGCTCTTCCCATCGTGTATAAAATGCAATCAACGGGTGGCCTAAAAAAAACGAATCAAATGAATAAGTACACTGGATAATAAAATGAAAAGGGATGAATATATACCTTTCCTTGAACCATGGCAATCACAATGACATACACATGAGGAGTGAGGTTCGATTTCTATCTAGATCGGCCCAAAGAAATGAAGTTAAAAGGGTGCCCGACCGTCGCAGCCTCGCGTTGGTGTCAAGTCCTTTTAACCTCGGCCGAATCGAAAGGAATATCTTATAGTCACGCGAATAGCGGCTAAAGATACTTCTTTACGATTTTTTAGAAATAAATTCCGGGGAAAAGAAAGGCAACCTCTACATCGCGGACTCGCGTTCGAGGTCGTATCTTTCTTAACACCATCCTAGGATGCCCTATCGCGCCCAGTCCCAAGCGTGGTTGTGTGTGCAACGGTGTAGTGCTAAATCATTAAAGCATGCACAACAAATTATAAACAATCAATTCGAACCCGCAAGAACAAACAACACCTTAATGTCGTTCATACCTGAGTCCTTACGCCAAACAAAATCATTTTGAACAGGATAAAATTTTTGGCCTAAGTCCACTTTTAAAAAAAACAAGTCCCCAGCGGAGTCGCCAGTCTGTCGCGACCGAACTCCCGAGCCCTTTTTTAAACGACATGCAAAGAGAAGGGGGCTCACCCGGTACGTGCTAAGTCTAGGTTCGGGACTTAACTCCTGGCTCTCCCAAGCCCATACCATATCGCGACTTAGGGTTTAAGTTTTTAACATGCAAGTGGTTTATATCGAGGAGTCGCCACTAATCGATTTGGGGTGGGTCGATTAGAAACCCAAATAGGGTGATGGGAGAATCACCCTATTCCTACGAACCGTAGATTAACCGAATTGGGACTTGGTTACACTAGTTAGATAACTAATGCCCTTTCTGTACCATTTTACCCCTGTTCATTTCTCGAAAACATTTGTCGTGCAATTTTGATTGATTTTAGGACCTTTCTCCTAACATGTGAGGTGATCAAGCGAGTGCATAATCAGAAACGATTAGCAGTCAGGAACACAACCATTCATGCAGCCTAAGGTTCTAACCTTAACTAAGTCAGATGACATTCAAAACACAACAGCTCAAGCAATTGTATTAAAAACATGCATAACAATACAACGGTAATAAAAACTATCATGCAAAATACTACCGCGTAATCCTAGGTTTATCTAATTTAAACATGGTAAATTATGCATAATAATACTATAACAAATAAAACATTTAGAATATAATACAATTTTAAAAAAAAAAAATTAATTTTTTAATTTTTTAATTTTTTTTCGAAAAAAAAAAATAATAATAATAATAATACAGAAGAAAGAACAAATAATAATAATAATAATAATTTTTTTTTCTTAAAATTTTTTTTAAAATTTTTAATTTTTAATTTTTTTTAATAAAATAATATTATAATATTAACCGGGTCGGGTCGGATCCGACCCGGGTCAATCTGATCCGACCCGGGCGTTGACTCGGGTCTGAACCGATATCCGGCCATTGGAACCGACTCCGAGTCAACGGATCCGACCGGCGTTGATTTCGGGTCGGATCTGCTGATTCGGGCCGAATCCGACCCGAACAAACAGACCTGAGGAGGGCGCTGGCGATGCCAAAATTGGCCGTCCGCCTGGCCGACCAGCGGGGCCGCCCCTAAGTCGCCCGACTAGGACCGCCCGCTGGCCATGCCACTCCACCCTGAGCCGCCGTCGGACCACCGTTCGCGGCCGGCGATGAAACAAAACCGGCGTGGTTGAGACATTTCGTCGAACGCCCGCGGGCGCGTGGAAAACGGGGATTCCGACCTCCTCCGGCGATCCGGTCGACTCTGGCGGCTCCGGGTTCACCTCCGACGGCGACTAGAGTCGGGACCGACGACGGTATGGGCCGGATTCGCGCTGAAACGGCCGGGCGCGAGTCCCGCCAAACCGAGCCAAAAATCGTGGAAACGAGGAGCTTCGCGGCGAGTGGGCTCACCGGCCGACGGGCCCGGGCGGCTTCCGCAGAAGTCCGGCGCGCCGACGACCGCCGCCGGGTTCTTCTTTAGCTCCGGCGGACTCTCGCCCCTCTCTCTTCTCTCGTTTCACTCTCTAATCTCTCTCGGTCTCTCTCGGTTTCTCTCTCTCACTCTGTTTTTCTCTGCTCTGTTTTCTCTCAAAATGTCCGACCGGGGCTGCTTCCGGGGGTTGCCGGTCGGCTTGCTGGTGACGACGAGGCCGGCTGGGACATGCAAGACCCTCCGAGGCTCCTCTCTCTTCTCGGTTTCTCTCTGATTCTCTCCGGCCTCTCTCGGACTCTCTCTCCGTTTTTCTCCAAAAATGGCCGACCCCCGGGCGTTCTCTCTCTCTCTGACCTTAAGGCGGCATCGACGTGTCTCTCTGCCTCTCTGCGTCGGCGTGACCTCGGCCTGCACCGGCCTACGCCACGCCACGACTTTCGTGGCCATTTGCAGGCCGGTGCAGAGCAGAGCAGAGCAAAAGGGGGGCCGGTTCGGTGAAGGTGCGAGAGAGGGAGAGAGAGCCTGGGAGATGAGGAAGACGGGACCGGCCTTAATGGCGATCCCTCGTGCGTGCCCGCCCGGGCCTCTCTCGCCGGATGACGACGATGAGGAGCGGCGCCGCCGTGCGTCACGCCTTGGTCGCGCACGGGGAGAACAGGGGAGGAGAGAGCGGCCGCGCAGGGGAAGGAAGGAAGGAAGAAGGTCAGTAGGCCGGCCAGCCCAAGAAGGGCGTGGGAAAGAAGAAGGAAAGGAAAGCGGGACGGCCCGCGCGAAGGGAAAAAAGAAAGAAAAGGGTCGGGGCCCGGGGAAAAAAGGAAAAAAGGAAAAAGAAATGGGTCGGCTACTCACCCGACCTACCCGACTCGATTTTATTTTTTTTTTTTGGTGTTTTTTTTTTTTTTTAATTTTTGTTTAAAATTTAAGAAAATATGCTCTAATAGGCCCTATTAATTCACATATGCCTAATGTCTATATGCAATGCATTTAAATAGAAATATTTTTTTGTTTTAGGAATTAAAGAAAATTAATTCCTAAATTTTGTGTAATTAATTTTGGGCAAATCAAAAATAGGTGTCAACATTATTAAAGTCAATCAAAGCCATATGGGATTTTTTTCATCATATTCAACTAATTAAATGATCTGTGTTATCAGGAAATTATAATAGTATGTTTCAACTTATAAGATGCAAAAAGAAACAGTGCCATTCTTATGCAAATGGACATTTGTATCTTCAGATTTTTTTTGGTAAATAAAAATAAGTGATATTTCTCCATAAACTTTCATATGGCGCGCTTGGCTTAAAGATGTTGCTTATAACCTAAAAAGTGTATTGCTAACCAATGTCACCACATCTCTTTTTAAACGTACTTTACAAAAATAAAGTTTCAGTTTTCAAAAAAAAAATGATTAAACACTCCGCAAATATAGTTGATGAAATGAAAATCGAGTCCTTCCTTAGCTACTTAGAGGTGGCCCACCATCACTCTTTAGCAAATTCTTTTGAAAAATTAACACAAGTCATATGAAAATTTACAAATAAACATTTGTACTTTGCAAAATGGTTTCACGTATTTGGTCTTAAATAAAAGTCAAAGTGCACGAGCTACAAAATTTGAAAAAAAAAAATCAAAAGATAAAACATTGAGGTGCATTTGCCTTAGTTGTTTTAAAGCAATTTACTATTTTTTCTTTATTTTCACGAATTTCAAAAGATCGTCAAAAAAAAATTAAATGTGAGTTCATGTGTCCATTTTTATACACGGGAAGGATAAAAAGATAACAAAATCGGTGCAAATCCAATTTTTTTTTCAAAAAAAATCAAAAACAAAAAGTTACAAGTTGAATGCCTTCCCCCGTATCCAGACGTACTCAGATGAACCATTTGAAAAAACTTGCAGAGGTCCTGGTTCCGTGACTGGATGCGGACAGCTACAAGCGGAGACTCTTCTAACGAACTCCTTTCTGAAATAAGATGGCTTCAGTGGGAGGTCTGGAGAAGCAAATCGCCTCTTCCAACGACCAATTTGCATCTACCGAACTTATCGGTGCTGGAATTATCAGAGAGCGTGATGACAGAGGACCGGGAAGAAGGGAGTTTGATGACGGTAAGATGGCGGAAAAGAAGAGACATCCTCTCTGTCTCTGTGATTTTTTGGGTTTTGTTTTTGTTTAGCCGATCCCGCCACTCATTCTTTTAACAGCTTTATTCTCCTCTTTTTTGTGTAGCCGCCAGAGCGGCTACAAGTTCACAGATGGTGCTTTGGTTTAAGATATACTCGTGATTTCTCGGATTTATCACACAGCCAGATCATCACAGAGGATTGGGAAGGATGGAGTTTGATCACGGTAAGATTGGGGAGAGAAAAGACATCCTCTCTCTGTCTCTGATTTTTTGCGTTTTGTTTTTGTTGAGCCAATCCCCTACTCGTTCTTTTGACAGCTTTATTCTCCTCTTTTTGTGTAGCCGGCAAAGCAGCTTCAAGTTCACAGATGGATCTTTGGTTTAAGATGTACTCCTGATTTCTCGGATTTATCATACAGCCACATCATCACAGAGGATTGGGAAGGATGGAGTTTGATCACGGTAAGATTGGGGAGAAAAAAGACATCTCTCTCTCTCTCTCTCTGATTTTTTGGGTTTTGTTTTTGTTTAGCCGATCCCCCACTCATTCTTTTGACAGCTTTATACTCCTCTTTTTGTGTAGACGGCAGAGCGGCTACGAGTTCTCGACCTTAGCGGTTGCAACGGTTTAAGATGTACTCCTGATCTCTCGGCTTTCACGCAGTTGAGGGTTCTCCGCTTGGACCATTGTGCCGCACTAGAGCATCTACACCCTTCTGTTGGCAAACTCAAGAGCCTCATTTCCTTGGAATTGAGCTTCTGTTTTAGTCTCAAGGAGCTACCAGAGGAAGTGTGCGAATTAAAAGAATTAGAAGAACTTGTATTAGATGATTCTGGTATTACAGAGATCTCTACGTCTATCATTGGTTCTCTGAAGAAGCTGAAGACACTGAGCGCCTACCGTTGTGAGTCACTGAGAGAAATCCCTAACTCAATTGGGGATTTACAAAATTTGCAACACCTGAACTTGAGTGATTCTGGGATTGAAAAGCTTCCCAGTGCTATTGGGGATCTTTCTTCTCTCCAGCACCTTGACCTATGGCGCTGTGACAAGCTCCGGTCGCTGCCACGGCTTTCTAGCCTAATCCACCTAGAAGAACTCCATCTTCTAGGATGCCATCTACTTGAAGACATCCCCGAGCTTCCCTCGAGACTCTTGATACTCCGTATTGAGAAGTGTGGTAAGCTAATATTGCTTAAGCTCGATGGATTGAAGAACTTGGAAGAGCTTTCAATAAAAAGGTGCAGTTCAATTGAAAGATTGGACCTTTCACGGTTAATTCATCTGAAACGATTACACGCTGAGCATTGCAATGACCTAGTCGAAATTCAGGGCAGTGATAATTTGGAGTTCTTGGAGGGCATATTTATATATGACTGCAATTCCTTTAAAAGGCTTCTCTGTCCAAAATCAGGGCGTTTGAAGTGGTTAGTGGCTGTCAGGTGCAACAATCTAGTTGAAATTCGAGGTCTTGATGGTGCGAAATTCTTAGAAGTGTTGGATTTTATAGGATGCGAATCAATGGAGATGTTGCCAAATTTGACGGGATGTGAGAAGTTACGATCTCTAATTGTTCGAAACTACAACAAACTTACTCAGCTTCGGGAACTTGAAAAGTTGGATTTGATTGATTTGGATATTTCTGGTTGCGACTCATTGGAAGCAATATCGAAATTATCTTGCACGCGCGTTATTAGAAGTTCTGAATGAGAGCTGTGTTGTGTTCTCTATGGAAATGTTATCTTGCAGTGATAATGATGTGAGGAATCTTATATTACAACAGTGAGACGAGTCATGTTTCTTCAATAGAGATAAATAAGCAGTGAACAATCTTTTTCCTTTTGAGATTCATGACCTACTTTATCTTCTTTTCACACGAAGGTTTTCCATGGCATGGTTCTGTACTTTCTTTAAATTGCTAGTCTTACATAATTGAAGGAGTGGGGGAGTTGCTCATAGAAGCTAACATGATGCTTCAGCCAAGATCAAAATGTAGAACCAAATGTCAATAGAAGGCATAGTAAGATTCTTTATCCTGGAATGGCCAGTGTGAACGAATAGAGTAACAGTTTTCTCGAGGCTCTCTTTTTTTAGAATGATTTGCTCCACACCGGGTATCTATTTGATTGATTTTGGAAACTCCAGATCTGCCTCTGTATAATTGCTGTTGATTACGTTATAGCAATGTTTTTCGTTTACACTTCCATTGGCAGCTTCTGTAGACTGCAAACAGATAGCAGCTTGCGAGGCAAGAATGAAAATATCAACAAAGGTAAACAAGAATTACTTGGTGATTAACAGAGTCCCTATTGATAAACGCGGGATTTGAAATTTTCATCTAGAGGCCGATGAACTTCTGCTACTCATTATTATATACTACGCCCAGAATTTCCCAATGTCGAAAGTTCATATTTTCTTTGAAAAAAGTCCTTGGCCATTTTGAGTTCCTTTGCGAGTTCTTTTGTATGTCAAATTTGACTAATGGCAGATGTCCTGTTTGGGACAAATGCCTTTTGATTTTCCGTGATGAACGAAAACCCTGTCAAGTTTCTTATTGTTCCCTTGCTATCCTGCATTAACCTTCCCAGAAGAGCATCACTTTCCGGTAAATATGATGAACTGAGCTAAAATAAAATTCAAGGTTCAAGTGCTTCTGGTTGGTGACAAAAAAAAAATGTTTAAAGTAGTTTTAGTTAGTCTGTCATATATGAATGTAGACCACCTTGACATTACTAGTAGTCAAACTGTTGTTTTGAAAGATTATCAAGCAAGGTAAACTGTTGTTGCTTCTATGACAGGTTTGGTTGGTCTATGTAACGATCTAGGCTTACTTTGGGACTTCAATTCAATTAACTGTATCGATGACCTTTTGCATTAATGGGCAATTTTTTGCCCATCTCTGAAACAAGCTGGGACGAGGAGCTCAAGAATTTGCTAATTAGTTTGCATCCCGTCTGATCCTATTGTTGTCATGGAATTGCTTTATCACATGACTGATTTGGGTGTGGCTGACTGGGCTGAGGAACTTCAAATTCCATACCTGAGACCGATCAAAATAAAGAAAAGGGATTTTGCAGGGGAAGCATCAGCAACAGCTGAGGACACTCTTGTGTGCCAACCTTGAAGACGCTCCGGGGTCGACTGGAGTGTCCCAAGGAAGTTTTGATGCTTCTGAATTTTCAAACACTTGATCTGATCTCTACTTCACATCCCTGAATGATTGTAAATGTATTTTTTTCAATTAAATATGCTTTCTGTACGCTCAATAGGTTCTAGCTCTCCTTTAATCAAATGCTAAGCTGCTGATTTTTTGTATGTTGCCCTGATGCAGAGTTGTCCGATGCAGTTGTATTCTAATGATATCACTCTGGAATTGATGAGGCTCTGCAGAGGGAGGTATGCACTGCTAGGCTCCTCCATATCTATCGGTTTATTTATGTGATGATATCCTTTGAATGTTGTCATATAGGTTTCTAATTTGATAAGCTCAGTTCTCATGTATGCAGCATTGGATTTGTAAAGTTGAAATTGACCTCCTTGCAAACTATCCCGTATTGCTGATTTTGCTAATTGGATCTTGCAAAATAACCCAGTAGCAATTCATCTTTCTGTTCTGTAGTTTAGGCACTTCACCTTTTCAGCATAATTTTATTAACTTCAATTCCGTTCCCAAACACAAACAGGGAAAGTGTTGCTAATTGCTTACTTCTTTTAAGCCTGTTGGTTTCTTTTTCATCAGCCAGCTAATGAAGTCTCTGTTCATTGTGGTCCAACTCCGATTGGTGTCGATGTTTACGCATTTGTAACTTATCTCTCATGGGGTAAATTCTGATGCTACAATCTTGGATATCTTCATTTATATGATAATTAGTCAGTGCTATCTTCCTTGTGCAGATTAAAGCTGCATTTGATGAAACTCGGAGAAAGTCCCCAAACACCAGGGGTTGGAGATATGGGCAAGAATGAGCTATGTCAGTATGGAAAGGCATTCCGAAGTTCTTTGCTATTGGCGTTTATCATTTGCTCCGTGTTGTTAATACTCTTCAAAGGATTCTTGATATAAGACAACATCTTCTCGTGTGGTGTATTAGTCCTTTGCAAGCTTTGAAATCGTGCTATTCTTTAGCAAAGGCCGCATCATAAATCACTTGGAGAAATACCGCATGTGCAGGTGGTTCTATATGTGAAGTCAAGCATAAAATGAGATTTGTTAACAAGATTACCATTTAGATGTCCACTTCAAGCTACAGTTTTGTGACTGGGAGAGACTTTTTTCGTGGAAAAAGCAAATGCTGTGGAATAAGCAAATAGTCTGTCTAAAGAGTTTCAATCAAAAGGTTTCCAAGAAGACAGTAGTTTCTCATTTTGGACGAATTTTGAACACAAAATAAAGGCGTTCATTAGTGTAAAATTATCTCTCTGGTCTGGTTAGCTCGGAAAATTCATATGTAGGCATTTTGCAATCACTTTGGTCGTGTAATTTCAAACTTGATTTATTTAAGCATGAATATAAAAGCAGAAGAGACACAACCATGTATATTTTCATACCTAAACCAAGTAGAGAGACCAGTTCGTTCCTGAAGAGCAGCATTACTTTTTCCTTTCGAGATTCTCTCAGGTGGACGAATTGGTGGTTCGCGTAAAAATTGCTGTTTAAATTGTTTAGACAAGGAAGGAGGCTACTGGTAGAAGCTATAACATAGTGTGTTTATTGCAGAGAAGAGGAGAAGAAAATGAAGAAGATCATATCAAAGCCGGGACGGGAGAAGGTGCGTCACAGTGTTCGGCTGGATCATCAAGTTGAAATTGGGGAGAGCGTGGCAATCTTAGGATCCACAAGAGAATTGGGATCGTGGTAGAAGAATGTGGCAATGGACTGGACCAAGAGCAGATGGGTATGTGAGTTAGAACAGAAAGGAGGCGAATCTGTCAAATTAGAAGAACTTGTATTAAATTTTGCTGATATTACTGAGATTCCTACATCTATCGGTTCTCTGAGGAAGCTGGAGAAATCGAGTGCCAGCTGTTGTGAGTCTCTCAGAAAAATCCCTAGCTCAATTTGGGATTACAGAATTTGCAACATCTGGACATTAGTGGTTGTGGGATTGAAAAGCTTCCTAGTGCTATTGGAAGGTTAAAAATCTGCGCACTCTAAGTCTCCTATCATGCCGTAGTCTGAAAGAGCAATTCCAAGTGAAATTGGTGACTTGTCTTTGCTCGAGATTGTCAATATCACTTGCGTGCTGATATTAACCTGCTAGAAAGCATTCGTAATCTTTCTTCTCTCCAATGCCTTAGCCTATTGGGCTGTGACAAGCTCCGGTCACTGCCAGAGCTTCCTTCGGGCTTGATGTATCTATGGATCTCTTGTCAGAGTTCCACGTTGCCACAGCTTTCTAGCTCAATCCACCTAGAAAAACTCCATCTTCAGGCATGCCATCTACTTGAAGACATCCCGGAGCTTTCCTCAAGACTCTTGAAACTCCTTATTTGGGAGTGTGATAAGCCGATATTGCTTAAGCTCGATGGATTGAAGAACTTGGAAGAGTTTTCAATAAAAAAAACTGCAGTTCCATTGAAAGGTTGGACCTTTCACAATTAATTCGTCTGAAAAAATTACACGTTACGGATTGCAATAACCTAGTTGAAATTCAGGGCCAGGATAATTTGAAGTTCTTGAAGGGCATATTTATGTATGACTGCAATTCCATTGAAAGGCTTCTCTATCCAGAATCATGGTGTTTCAAGAAATTAGTGGCTGTCAGGTGCAACAATCTAGTCTAAATTCAAGGTCCCAAGGCTGCGAAGTTCTTAGAAAAGTTGGATTTTAGAGGATGCGAATCAATGGAAACTTTGCCAAATTTGACGGGATGTGAGAGGTTATGATCTCTAAATGTTCGAGATTGCAAGAAACTTACTCAACTTCAAGGACTTGAAAAGTTGGATTTAATTGATTTGGATATTTCTGGTTGCGACTCATTGGAAGCAATACCGAAATTATCTGGAACACGCGTCTTTAGAAATTATGAATCAAAGTTGTATTGCGACTCATAGAGTGATGTTTCCTCAACAGAGGTTAATAAGCAGTGAACAATCATTTTTCTTCTGAGATTCATGACCTACTTTTCATCACTATCTTCTTTTGACAAGAAGGTTTTCTATCACAGGGTTCTGATTATGAACCATCCTAAATTGTTAGTCTTACATAATTGAAGGAGTGGGGGAGTTGGTCATAGAAGCTGACATGATGTTTTGGCCAAGATCAAAATGTAGACCCAAATGTCAATAGAAGGCATTGGTGTAACAGTCTGAATTTTCGATCCTTTTCCCGGGATTTAGGAAATGAATTTGATCAATGCACTTATAGTGAAATCTCACCCGGAAATGCGCATTCACGGGATGCTAACCTTAGGGGTAGGGCCGTTACGGGATTGAGTTCGCACGACCAAAGAACTCGACCTGGGTTTGATCTTCAACCATATGAATTGACGAGGGAATGTTTTGATCCAACCGAGACCGGTCTATCTGATTGATCGTGTCCGAAGGGAACTAGTGACAGACCCTCGCAATTATATGACAATCGAGGTCGTCCTGGGTAGAGTAAACTTAAACGTGATTTGACTTAGTGTCGGTCACGGGTCGAGAGCGCGTAATTCCAGAGAGCCACCCGTTAGCCAAAGATAAGCTAAAGTCGCGATTATCCAATTTTAGTTATTTCTTGGAATTCGGGCCCGGGAATCGAGAATTTTGAAAGTGACAATTTTGAGCGGCCGATGACGTTTTTGGCTTGGCCAACCTTGGGACCACCCATTTCTGCAAAAAAATGGATTTCGGTCCGGGACCCG